GTGTTCAGTAGTGAATTGTTAACCGGGTATTCCATTTTTCGTAAAGACAGGACTGGTCAAACTGGTGGCGGAGTACTTGTAGCTGTTAAAAATGAATTCAAAGTATCACGACGTAAAGATCTGGAAAGGGAAAGAACAGAAATGGTGGTGGTTGAACTTGTCACTAATGGTAAACCATTATTATTGTACATTTTCTACCGTCCTCCAGGATCAACTTCAGAAATTCTTTTTCAACTGAACTCCTCTCTAAAGAGTACTCGCGAATCAAGCCGTCTAGTAGTGGTTGGCGATTTCAACATTCCTTCAGTGAATTGGTCAATAGACGAATCCGCACCCATTAACACAGGCGGACACGCGGCAGGAGAAAATTTGTGTGATGTGGTAGGGGATAACTTTCTGCATCATTTTATTAAAGGTCCTACACACATCAATGGAAACAAGCTTGACTTATTGTTATCTAACTGTCCAGAAATTGTCGAAAATGTTATCACTTTTACTCCTGGACAAGTGTTTCCAACTGATCACCATGCTGTTGAATTTTCAATTAAATTAAAATTTAAACGATGCGAGCCAGTGCCACGTAAAGTGTTCGACTTTAATAGAGGTAACTTCGATGAACTTCGCAGTTCCCTTCTGCGCATATTACCTGACTTCGCTATGTCAACGGACAGTATCGATGATTGCTGGCTGAAATGGAAAAAATTGTTTCTTGACGCTGTGGGTAAATTTGTTCCAACAAGGACCATCAAAGACAAAAAATGTCCGCCTTGGATTGACGGAGAAGTTCGCCATTTCATAAGAAAGAAATACGATGCTTTGAGAAAATTTCGGAAGGACAGATCTGATATCCGCAAACAAAACCTGCGCGAACTAAGTCAAAAAGTGAAATATTTGATAAGGGCAAAGCACCGCGAGTATCTCAAGAAAATCGAAGGTTCTTTCAAGGACAACCCAAAATTATTTTGGAGTTACCACAAGGCTATCTTACACCACCATGGAAAGTCAACTTCGAAAATCACACATAATGGCAAAACAGCAACTACACAAGCTGGTAAGGCAGAACTGTTCAATTCATATTTCTCTTCTGTATTTCGTCCTCCCTCTTCGCAACAAGATATCGACAATAGAAATTTACTAGATTATCCTCCACCCGAAGTACTGTTATCCGAACTCACTGTGACAGTCGAAGATGTTACAAATTATCTCAATGCTCTGGACATCACGAAAGCAAGTGGGCCTGACGAAATCCCTGCTCGTCTTCTTAAAACTTGTAGCAATGAAATCGCGCCAAGCCTCTGCTCCCTCTTCAACCGATCGCTTGAAACAGCTCGTTTACCGTCGGAATGGAAAATGGCCAATATAACTTCAGTGCACAAAAAGGATTCCCTTGAACCAGCCATCAACTACAGACCTATCTCCCTGCTGTGCATAATAAACAAAGTTCTAGAACGTCTTGTTGGGAACGGTCTGCGTGCTCAGGTAAAACATCTCATCACAACCCTGCAACATGGTTTTCAACGCAACCGCTCGTGTGCCACCCAACTGCTTGCAGTCCTCCATGAAATTGGGAAGAATCTGGACCAAAATGTTCAAACTGATGTACTGTACTTAGACTTTGCGAAGGCTTTTGATACCGTAGACTACCAGATCCTTTTAAAAAAACTTAAACGTTTTGGTTTAGTAGACCGCATGCATGATTGGTACAAAGATTATTTGCATCAACGATTCCAACGAGTTGTTGTAGACGGTGCAGTCTCCGACTGGGAACATGTTACTTCGGGCGTTCCGCAAGGAAGTATTTTGGGTCCTATGCTATTTGTAATATTCATAAACGATTTACCAGACGTTGTGCCAGATTGTATCTCTACAGGACTTTACGCAGATGACACCAAACTCTACAGGAACGTATCAACTATCGGTGACTGTAAGAAATTACAAGACGCTTTAACAGAACTTAGTTCTTGGAGTTATCAAAATAACATGAACTTTAATGCATCAAAGTGCAAAGTTCTGTCCATAACACGCAAGGTCAATCCATTGCATTTTCAGTACCATATGGATTCTACCAAGTTACTTCGAGTAAACGAAGAAAAAGATCTCGGGGTGATCATTACCGAGAATTTGTCATGGGAATCACATCTTACCTGCATTTGTGCGAAAGCTAACAAATTACTCGGTCTATTAAAGCGATCATGTATTTCAATTATTGACAGTAGTGTTCGAAAGACTCTCTATTTGACGTTGGTTAGGTCCAAGTTAAGTTATGCGACTGAGGTTTGGTCTCCAGCAAGTTCCTTATTGAAACAAAAGGCTGAGAAGATTCAGAGACGTGCTACGAGATGGATCCTGCGCGTCAAAGCCGGTGAACTATCCTACAAAGAGAGACTTCAGCAACTGGATATGCTCCCTCTTGCGTACGATCGCGAGGTCAAAGACTTAGTATTTTTTTATAAGGCTGTGAACGGATATATTGACATTGATGTCTCAAATTTTGTTAACTTTGTCAATCATGGACGGACACGTAGAGCATTGAGATCCAAATACTTAGAAACTCCGTTGTGTAAAACTTGTACGTACAGTTCGTCGTATTTTAATCGTGTTGTCAAATTATGGAACAGTGTTTGTGTCTCGATCGATCCTTCCAGTTTTACATCGCCATCGTCTTTCAAACTATACCTCAAGATGAGGTATAAGAATATTCTGGAAACAGTATTTGATCCGGACATGACTTGCACCTGGTCACTTAAACGTGATTGTGGTTGTCACAAATAATAAACTAACTTAACTAATCAAATTAATGTGCATGCATAATATTAATATTTATGAAGTAAATATGTTATACAGGGTGCCCCAAAGGGGACCAAAGCTGTTGAGATGGCGTGTTGCTTGGGAATTGAATTGCCTTAGCACTCTGCTGAACCCATAAGTGCATAAAAGCTTGACAAAAGTAAATTTTACGAATAAAGAAACTGTTTAAGAAGTTGCTTTAAATTCCAAAGAGCAGATAATCGTGAGCTTACAAAGATATTTTAATTTCTTCAATACTCATATTATATGCATCATGTCGATCATATTTACGTGTCTTTGCGTTCAGTTGGTGCTGAGGCGTTCGGATTCTGGCAGTGCGTTGTTTCAGTGGTTTTGGGTTTTTTTGGGACACCCTGTACTGTATACTGTGAATTAATTAAAAGGTTTATGTTAGGAAGAGGAGGGGCACCATGCAATGGACTTTACGTCCAGTTTGTGCCTTGTCCGTTTGAGTATGTACAGCTCTTTAATCGTATGTTAGATGAATAATTGTTGAAAACATTTGTACTCAATAAAGTTTAACAAACAAACAGTAAACGCATTTTAAAAGAGACCAGGTTGTTTGAAAATCCTAAATGAATGCTAAAAATCGTCAAAACATTCTGGTGTCTGAGCCAGAGTGTCATCGAATTGCGATGTAATGTAAACAGAAATTATAGCAAGTTGATGTCAGTCAGCTTAGATGGTCCAAGCCAAAATTATATCGCATTTGAAGTTTCAAACTGGGTTAAAAATAGTGGAAGAAAAGCCGTAATTATACTTATTGTTACAATCCATTTAATAAAATGCAACATTTTTTTGTTTTAATGAAAAAATCAGTTATTTTCATGAGAACGATTTGTTATTCCATCTCAATTTTTTTAATCTCCAATCGCAATAACGTAAAGTATTATTATCCGCGAACTAATGAGTCAAATTTAAGAAACAACCCACTGTTAGAAAGCTGAATGGCTA